ACGGGCTTAGTTGCTCCACAGCATGTGGGATCTTCCTGGACCAGGGCTCAAACCCGTGTCCCCTGCATTGGCAGGCGGACTCTCAACCACTGCGCCACCAGGGAAGCCCTTTCTCTCTGTTCTTCACGGTGCATAAGCCCCTTTGGTCCAGCGTCAAGTTGGCCGATTTGTGCTTCTCCAGATCCAGAAGATTGTCGTTTCTTTTTGGTTTCTGTGCTTGTCAGCATAGAATTTCCATCTGTTTCTGTCTTTTAACTTTCCTCTTTTTTGTCTCTTTACTTCCTTAATCTGGTTTCCTCCAGTTCTGTGAGTATATTTGTGGTGGCTGCTTAGGGGACTGTCGAGTCCGTCACCTGGGTCCCACAGGCAGTTTTGTTGCCTGGTTGCTTTCCTGTGCATGAGTCACATGCAACTGTTGCTTTGCACATCTCGACATTTTTGGTAGAAAACTAGACATTCTGGGTAGTTCATTGCAGCAGCTCTGGATCCTGATTGCCCCCTTCCCCGAGGCCTGTTTTATTTTGGCTTGCTTATTTATTTGTTCGGTGGCCTGGCTGGTCTACTTTGGTGACGTCTGTTTCCACTGGAGTGTGAAGGTCTGGTGGCCGCTCCTTAGAGGCTGCAGCCTCGGGAGTGGACACGGTCACCTGGATGGCGGTGGTTCCAGCAGGGCCCTTGTCACGGTCTCCTTCCCCGATTGCTCTGTTGAGCTGTCTGCCTTGGGTGGTAGGCTCTGATAACTGGCCGGTGGGGTGATCTGTCCTTCGTCAGGGCTTTGCATCATAAATTGCTCCTCCCTTTTACCTAATTAAATTCTGGCCCCTTTGCAGAGGGAGATTTGAGCCCAGTCTTGGAGGTTTGTTGTGACCCGGGAAGGCTCTTGGGTCTCTCCCCGGTTCTGTCTTCTAAACCAGCTGTTATCATAGAGCTGCCAGCCTCCTCCTGACTGCTTGCCACCCTGATCTCCCTTATGCTTGAACTTCCCCACTGTCTCTTCCAAGTAAAGTCAGTTCCTTTAGGGAGATCAGTAGCGCCTGATCAGTTACGGACTTCCATGCCTGGGGCAGAGCTTCTGCTCCGAGTCGGGGGTGGGAGCTGGTTGGGGGAAGGGAGCGCTCGACCAGCAGGCTCGGGGGTCAGGAGTCCAGGCCGAAGGGGACGAGAAATGTGGAATGTGGGGGCCCTGCCCTTCCTAGGGAGATGCTACATCTTTCACTGGGAGCCCCTATTTTTGGCCACACCTGACACTCTCACCGGCTCTGCACTGGGTGGAGGGTGGAAGGACAGAGTGAGCCGGGGCTCACGTGTCCAGACTCTCACGGTTCTTATTAAATTTTGGCAGATTTTCATGGATAAATGTTTCTGTATCTGCTGTATGCCCTTAGGACAAAATCCAGACACTTAAATATTGGCTTTTGAATTAATTTTCTCCTGTTGTGGTTGTCCTGTTTCACCAGGTCTGTGGAGCTCCTGGTATATCTGTGACCTTGGCATGTCAGTGGTTAGGACCCGGGGGCGTCTGTCCTTGGCCGTCATCTCCAGTGTGGGATCGTGCATCCCAAACACCAGAATGACACTTGTGAATCTGTTAAACTGTTTCCCCCCCAAAATCTCCCTTTTCTTGTAGAAGTTACAGGAAGTCTCTTGCCTTTTGGGGTGGCTACTAAACCTCACCCTGAGTAGACTCTAAAGCCAGTTGTACACCCATCTTTTGGGTGATTTCCATCACATCAAAAATGTGTAAGTATTTAGGCATGAATTGAGAAATACACCAGTGAAGAGAAAAGCTGATTTTCCTAATCTCCCTGCGGCCACACGTCAGAGTGATCAGAAAATCTGAAGCTCTGCGCAAATGTACAAACCCTGCACGGCCTTGCTAGAGTTCTTGTCATTTCCACGTGGGATGGTTTTCCTGTGATGCTGGGCACTGTCGAATTCTTCTCGCTTCACGCATAACCACAGTCCGTGAGCCTAGTGTTTTTGACTCATCTGCCGCCTCATAGGTTAAGTCACGTCTCCGAGTCATTTGGTGCCCAAGGCTGGCATATGGTTGCTGAAACTTAAAGCCTTTTCAATAATTGTTGACGCCTTCGCACAAAGAAGAGTTTTGTTCTGAAAGACATCCTTTTTTCTTTTTCTTTTTTTTTGCTGATGGACGGGGCGGCATGAGATTGCGTGCTGCCCTGAGCTGGACCCCCTAGCTGCCTGTTGGCCCCGACAAGAGCAAGCAGCACACGGGGCAGAGGTCACGGACCGCAGAGCCAAGCAAAGCTGTGCACGGCCTGATCTGTTCCGTGTACGAGGCCTGTGTGCTTTCCCACCGTCCGCTCCCTGTTACTCAAAGGCCTGCGTTCAGCGGTTGTTTTCCTGAGGAGGCTGCCTGAGTGCTAAGCTTCTGCCCGTTTTGTTTCTTTTTGAAATGATTTCCTAAAGGGCTGAAATTGATGAGGAGAAACATTTTATTTTATTTTGGTTTTATTTTTTTAATTTTTTAAAATTTATTTGCCTATCTTTTCATCTTTGGCTGCGTTGGGTCTTCATTGCTGCACGCAGGCTTTGTCTAGTTGCGGCGAGCGGGGGCTACTCTTCGTTACGGTGCGCGGGCTTCTCATTGCGGTGGCTTCTCTTGTTGCGGAGCTTGGGCTCTAGGCACGCAGGCTTCAGTAGTTGTGGCACGTGGGCTCAGTAGTTGTGGCTCGCGGGCTCTAGAGCGCAGGCTCAGTAGTTGTGGTGCACGGGCTTAGTTGCTCTGCGGCATGTGGGATCTTCCCAGACCAGGGCTCGAACCCGTGTCCCCTGCATAGGCAGGCAGATTCTTAACCACTGCGCCACCAGGGAAGCCCGAGAAACATTTTATAACTACCCAGCTAGGTTACATAAATCTTAAGTATTTTAGATAGAAAGGAATTATTCAAGAAAAAAAATTTTCTTTAATCTATTTTAAGAAAGGCTAAGGTGCTTCCAGCATTTTGTCACCAGAGACTAGTGAAGTGTTGGCAGCCATCGTATATGATTTAATGCCCTGCGTTTCTGCTGGCTCCAGGCCTCACCAGTTATTTTAGGTGCAGAGATAAAGTTAGCAAGCTACAGAACATCTTATTTTAGGCAACGTTTGCATATAGATAATAGAGTTACATTAAGAGGGGTTAAATTTCTTCTGAAAAGATGTATTTTTTTGCAGAAATATTCATATAACGTCCACAATTTGAGACATACAAAATAAAATTTGTAAGGAAAAAAAAGATGTAATTTTTCTGATTTAAAAACTGTGGGAAAACGCAATAAAACAAAGGTAAGATAAAATGAAATCTTGCCCCGTGAGGTAATCACCAGTGGTGAGCCAGATTGGAAATCCAGTTATTTTTCCAGAAAATTATTTTTTCAAATCATCATTCAGGCGTACAGGTAAAGTGTAAGAGCGCTAAGATAAAACACACACCAGACAAGTCGACAGGTGGTGGAGAGAATATGAAATTAGGACGACTGGGCTGATTGCGTCATTCCGGTGATCTGGGGATCTTGGCCCAAAACTCCACCCCCCCAGCTGTCAGTTCGCATCCCTAAAGCAAAGGGGTTTAGAAAATGAGGCTCCCGATAAAGAATGGACGCAGCTGATAGGAAACTGCTGGGCATCAGGGCTTCTCAGCCATGTTTGTATTTGTGTTTTCATCTGAGCACACACATCTCTCGGTGGTGGTGGACGGATGGCTCTTCTTGGGCTGGTCTTACCCACCCCCTCCCCCAATCTGCCTTTTCTCCCCCAGGCTGCTCTGCTCCTGCCTGCAATAAACATGGGAATTACATGTCAGATTTTATGTGAACAGAGGACTTCGTGGCAGATTAAATGTTTTAAAACCATAGACCTAGATGTTAAGGTGCTTTTTCTTTAGGTTAAAAGCAGTGGGTGTTTTCTCTACTGTTAATTCTTTCTGTTTGGAACAGGAGGGTGACGTGAATGTGAATTTTGAAGGAGCAGAAGGCAGAGGGGAGGGGAGAGCAGGAAAGGCAGAGAATATGGTTTCCCATCCCACGTCTGTCTTCTGGGTTTCTTCTTTTCGCTCCTATCCTCCAAAAACAAAATACGCTTTATCTAGCCCCCTCCACTGACACTATTTAATTTGAATAAAGTCTTTTTACTAGTTTAAATTTTTTCCATTTTCCAGTCATAACTGCCTTTACACATTTGGTGGGTTTAAGTTTTAGAAGCACACTAGTGGTGATCTTCCCCTCGTGGGCCCCCCCGAGCTGCCTTCTTCTGTTTGGCTGGGTTGCCGACACTAGGTAACCAAAGACTGGAACTTAATCATTTAGGGCCTTGGTCTGCACACAGTGTCTTTGGCTTAATTTGTTCTTATAAACAATTTGGAAGATACTAGTTCTTCAGGAGGTTTTTTTTTCTGTTTTACTCATCATTTCCCCATTTTATTTTAGTTTTTAAAAAATTTCTTTTTAGTTTTATTTTTTAACATCTTTATTGGAGTATAATTGCTTTACAATGGTGTGTTAGTTTCTGCTTTATAACAAAGTGAATCAGCTCTACATATACATATATCCCTATATCTCCTCCCTCTCGCGTCTCCCTCCCTCCCCCCCCTTCGTGAGATTTTTGAGTCCAGCTTCAGTATCACGTCCTTTGTTTTTGGTAGTTCACTGCATAGATGCATGTTGCTGATCATTTTTTTAGAAAGTGATTCTAAAAGTACTAGAACCACGTAAGCGATGCTCAGTGTCCCCTGCACTGAAACGGGGGCCCTTTAATAGTGTCAGACTTTGAAACGCGTGACTGCCGTCCTCCTGTGCTGTCTAGTGGCGGCAGTGTAGACTTGCAGGCTGCTTAGAAGTTCCGGAAGGTTCGACTCCCGGCTCTGGAGTGAGAAGAGATGAGCTTTGAAACCTTCCCGGTCTCCCTTCCCGCCCCCTCCTGTGTTCAGTGGAGGCCGCACCGGGACCCCTCGCTCGCACGGGTGCTCACCGCACCCTCCCCTGCTGTCCGCACACAGGTCACCGGAGGCGCGGGCTTCGTGGGTTCCCACCTCACAGACAAGCTCATGATGGACGGGCACGAGGTGACCGTGGTGGACAACTTCTTCACGGGCAGGAAGAGGAACGTGGAGCACTGGATCGGCCACGAGAACTTCGAGCTCATCAACCACGACGTGGTGGAGCCTCTGTACATCGAAGGTGAGCGAGGGCCGCCCCATGCCGGTTGGTGCCAGGCGGGCAGGTGGGCAGGCTCGACGGGGCGGCGGCCCCGGGACGCCGGCTGCCTCGGCCATGCGGAGGCCCTGTCTTGTTTTGGAAACGGTCTCACCGCGTCCCAGGCGCCACCCTGGCCCCTGTGATGGAGAACAGCCAGGATGGGGGAGTCTGGATTCGCTGTCACGTGGCAGCCCCGCATTCGAGCCTCGTGGGCTGTTGAGGGGGCTCGATCAGGGCCCCCCGGTCCTGGTGGCCTCACAGTCTGATGCCTGCCAGCTGGGGGGAGTCACTTCTAGCCTCCAGGGAGCTAGCTGATGGAGGGTGCTGGGCTCATAACGAAACGCTCCGTGTCGGAGTTCAGAGCCCTCCGGTAACTCTGCCACCCTAAAGGAATTAGGTTTGGGGGGCGGTGGTGGGTTGCATGGTGGTCCCCAAAAGACGTGCACCTCATGTGCATCCTCACCTGCTCTGGCTGCAGCCCTGAGGGTGGGAGGCCGCACCCACCTGCACTTGGTGCGTGCAACCTGGAGCCAGGCGGCTGCCCAGCTGTGGGGCTGGTGAGGCCGCACACACACTGCAGGGGTAGCTGGCGCTGCTTTTCCCACGGCCCCACATCGTGGGCCTCCTCCCCATGCATAGAAGGAACCTTGCAGAGCTCGTGTACTGACTGAGCAGTGCTCTGGTGCCGATACGCCGCAGTTTATGTAAATTTCCCCGTATTTACAGGTCTCCAGTGCTTCATTATAAATATCTTCGAGTTTTACATCCTTGGTAGAGAGCCCAGACGTGAATTGTGCTAAACACTAAGAAGTCTCCTTCGTTGTTTGGTGGTGTCTGTTTCACTAATACGTTAGTAGCCTTGAGCGCTACCTTAAACTAACAAACATAGTTTGTTAATTTGGTAGAAAACCCATGGTTTGGTGTACCTATTTTTGGTTACTGAAAAGGTTAGACTTTCTAACATGCTAATTCCCAGAGGAAATCCAGGTAGTCCTTCATCATAAGGATGTTAACTCCTTTGGTGCCTGTTCAGTAAACCGCCGGCCCCTTCTGGCTTTTGCCTTGTAGGTAGACAACCAAACTGAGCCGCAGAGCAACTCAGCTGTGTGCTTTGAGCTCTGATACCACAGCTGTTCTAGGCCACTTCTGCCGCTTCTGGCGCTGGACTCCACGTAGAGGGCGCGCGCGCACACACGCACACACTCACTCTCCCTGCCCCTCACTCCCCCGCCCCCTGTAGTGCGCGGGCTTCTTCCAAGTGCCAGATTGCTCCCGCCCGTCCCGGCCTCCTCGCTCTGTCCCACAATGCCCGCCGGACTCTGAGCCCCTCGCGTGGAAGGGCCATGGTTCGGGGACAGTTGTGCTTTTCAAAGGTGGTGATCGTCCTACCCACTGAGGTCCCAGTCACAGCTGAACTTAGCTCGATGGCATGAATGACTCACTCCCCGCCCCCCTGCTTTGCGTGGTGAGAGTGTGTAACAAAGTACAAACACTCGGTGTTACTCTCTGTGGGTGCCTTTCTCCTAACAGAAGCAGCCTTAGTGGATCTGATATGTACAGCACAGCAGGAATGTCTTTCTGCTTTGGCAAGTGCTCTGCGGGATTGTGTTGGTCTGTTTCCCGGGCTGACAGGTGTGGGTTTTAACGCGGCAGCAGAGGTGCCACCTGACCTGGCAGCACCCCAGCAGAGCTTCACTAGGCACACGCTTCCTCCTCTTGTTATTTTCAAAGTGTAGCCATCGTGGTTCATTCTCTTTCCGTATTTCCAGTGGGAAAGTGACTGTTGTCTGGGCTCAGGATGTGGTGGTCGATGTGGAAGATTAGCTGTGAGCGCGGTAACTCACGTCGGGGCTGAGATGGCACTGTGACCCCAGGGGCCCCCTCGTGTAATTAATTATGAAACGATCAGACAGGAAGCATTGTTGTCACGGGGCTTACGACGGAGGCCTCTGTGTTGTCTGGGTTAGATGTTTGGGGGAGAAAATCGTTGCTTTGGAAGGAATCATAAGTAATTATTGAGATAAGTTAATCGGATTTCATGTTGCTTTAAAAGAACTCTGGATTTTACCCACCACAGCGTTTAAGTTTCAAATGTTGAACCCATCCTGCGAGCTGGCTCTGGAAGGGGTAGATTTACCTATTCTTCCCACCCACCCATTCAGGACACTGGGAGGTTTCTGAGAAGCCGGGGTCGGGTGGAGGGTGTGTGTTGTCTGTGGGGTGGACGCCAGGCCATCGGGACGGTGGTGATCGCTGAGCTGCGGCCCAGGACGGCTCCGTGGACACGGGTGGGCGTCTGTCTGGGGAGGGGGCCCCGGGAAAGCACAGGACAGCGGGCAGTGACTGGGCTGTCAGAGCAGAAGGGAGCACGGAGCACCGCGTAGTGGGGAGGAGCCGTCTTCGTTTTCGCGGGTGGCTGGATGGACTTCAGGTCTCTGCTCTGACCTGTCGGGACCCCGGGACAGTCCTTCCCGTCCTCACGACGGGGAAGATGGGCAAGCTGATGGCCCGCGGCCTTCTCGGCTCCAGCAGGGGGCGGAGGTCGCGGGGCAAACAGCCACCTGGGAGCTGGAGATGGTGGTGGACACAGAACCCCGACTGGGGTGGAAGCAGCTGCGGGCGGGTGGGAGCTGCCTGCGGGCAGGAACAGCATGGATGGGCCTTGAGTCCGGGCCCTGGTTCTGGGGGTTGGGGGCCCTGTAGTGAGCTTCACCTCCAGGAGCCCCACGAGGTTCTCAGTGACGATCAGCTTTCCAGCAGGGGGAGGGGAAACGAGCCTTCCTGAAATCTGCCCAGAGCACCCTGTTTTCCCCCAAAGGCCTCTCAGGGGGACTTCCCCCAGGGCCTGACCGACAAAGAGGAGACGCGGGCCTGGGACTGGGGGGCTCCCCGGCCTTCAGTGGAGACCCCGAGGGTGACAAGAAGCAGAGGAAGCATGGGCCCAGGCCCAGGTAAGGAGGGGCCTCTAGGGAAACTCGGGGACAGCTGGGGACACCAAGCGGTACGGGGTGGAGGTACAGCCTCTGACCCCGAGGGCTTCAGGGCAGCAAGCGCAGCCTGTGTCCAGCCAGTGAGCTCGAACCTCGTGCCGGAGGCCCGTTATCTCCCACCCCTGGTACAGCATGTGTGCCTTTCAGCGAAGAACTGCAGGCGTGTTCCAGGGCACGAACACAGCCTGCAGAGGCGGAGCAAACATCAGACCCGGTCGGACGTGGCAGAGACTTGGAGTTACCACGAGGGCCGTTTCAGTAACTATGGTCAACGTGCAAAGGATGCTGGTGGGAAAAGCAGACTCTGCAGGGATAGGTAGGTAATGGAAGCTGAGAGGTGGAAACTCTCAGAATGAAAGGGAAATGCCCAAAATAGAAAGCATTGTGCGAGAAATGAAGAGGGCCTTCGATGGGCTTGTCTCAGCCGAGGAGAAGGACAGGGAGCTTGAAGGTGTGTCAGTGAAAACTTCCCAAAGTTGAGAACAAAGAGAAAACATAAAAATCCAGAGCCGGGGGCTTCCCTGGTGGCGCAGTGGTTGAGAGTCCGTCTGCCGATGCAGGGGACACAGGTTCATGCCCCGGTCCGGGAGGATCCCACATGCCGTGGAGCGGCTGGGCCCGTGAGCCATGGCCGCTGAGCCTGCGCGTCCGGAGCCTGTGCTCCGCAACGGGAGAGGCCACAACAGCGAGAGGCCCGTGTACCGAAAAAAAAAAAAAAAAAAAAATCTAGAGCAGAATATCCAAGAAGTGGGGGCAGATTACAGAAGGTGTAACGCACACACAGGGAGATTCCCAAAGGAGAGGAAAGGCGGGAACGGGAGAAACGTGTGACGTAAGGATGGCTGAGAATCTTCCAAAGTTAGTGACACGGACTACACCAGAGGCTGAGGGAGCTTGGAGAACACCAGGCAGGATATGCCCCCAAAATCTGTGCATTCAACTTTTAGAGAATTACTGATGAACAGAAAACCTTGAAAGAAGCTGAGACGGGTGCGGGTCACACCTCACCCACAGAAGAACAAGGATGGCGATCACACAGACTTACCTTCAGGAGCCGTGCAGAGAAGAGTGGAGGGAGATATTTAAGTAATTGAAGGAAAAAACCCGCCAACCTAGAATTCACCATCCTGTGAACTTATCCTTCGAGTGTGAAGGAGAAATAAAGACTTTGAGGAATCTGTCCCCTGTAGAGCTGCTTTGCAGGAAGTGTTCCAAGAAGTCCTTTAGAGAAGGTAAGTGATGCAGATCTGAAACTCGGATCTGCATAAAGAAAGAAGGAATTTTAGAGGAGGAATAAGTGATGGTAAAATTAAAATTTCCATTATTCTTTTTCTTACTCTAACAGGTAACAGTTCAGAATAATAGTAGCAGCTCTTGGGTGATTACTGCTCATGATAAATGAAAGAATGACAGCAGTGTCACCAGAGACAGAGGAGGAGTTGGGAGTACTCTGTTATATGAGGCACCTTATTGCCTGTAGGTCAGTCGTATATGGTAAATTATAGGACAACCACTAAAGGGATTTTTTGAAAGGTATAATTGATATGCCAAAAGATGAGAGAGAACGGGATTATCTGCAATGCTCAGATAAAATGAGAGAGGGCAGAAGAGTGGAAGACAAGAACAAGGAAACGAGTAGAAAATAGCTAGAAATACAGTAGATATTAATCCAAGTCTATTGATAATCACTTTAAATATGAACGCTCTAAATACACCAGTTGAAAAACAGATCGTCATAGAGGTTAAAAAACAACAGGACCCAACTCTGTTTTCTGCAGGAAACCTACACTATATAAAGATACAGATAGATGAAGGGGGAGGGAGAGAGGTGAAGCATGCTGACACGAATCAGAAGAAAGCTGGGGTCGCCGTCTTCACTTCAGACCAACTAGACCGCAGAGCGAGGCAAGCTATCACGGTAAAGCCAGTGCATCCTGATGTAGGGTCAGTTCTCCAGGAGGACGTCACCGTCCTGCCTGTATGTGCGCTTCA